ATTTATTTTCTGCTATTGCTTGTAATTTGGTTATCTGTAGAAAAGATTTTTAGCACTGAGCCCATAGTAGCAGCCAGAATAATTTTTCCAATTGTTTATTTTCTTTATTAGGCTATTTAAAAAAATAATAAAGTGTAGGCCTATTTTTTTTTTTTTGTGAATGTCCCAATTGGATGTGAATTGGTACAGGATGTGAAAAATTCATATAAATGTGCATGTTATATATTTTGATTGCATTTGTGATTTAATAAAAATGGTGTTTAAAAACAAATAGATGGATGTTTAAAATAGGTATATAATATCATAATATCGATATATCGATCGATATACTCCTGTATCGAATCGTATCGTAGAATTTTTTGAGGTATCGGCAAATATCGTATCGCTGGGTTTGAGAATCGATATCGTATCGTATCGTGACAAACCATCCGATTTACACCCCTATAGCCTACACAGCTTATGCGTTCCCATGAAAAACTTTTCGTTCATGTCCAAAAATGTTGCGTTCCCCCCTGATAAACTTTACGTTCATGTGCAAAACTTTTGCATTCCCCAGATAAACTTTGTGTGTGTGCAAAAGTTTTACGTTCCCCGATAAACGTTTCTTTCATGCGCAAAACTTTTATGTTCCCCTGATAAACTATTCATTCATGCGCAAAACTTTTGTGTTCCCCTGATAAACTTTGGTTTCACATGCAAAACTTTTATGTTCAGAATTTGCATTTGTTCACAAAACTTTTGCATTCCCCCAATAAACTTTGTGTTTGTGCGCAAATGGTTTGCATTCCCCAATAAACGTTGCATTCACGCAAAAAAATAAATAAATAACGTTTTCATTCCGATAAACTTTGCGTTTGTTAGCAAAATTAATATTGTACCATGTTCCAACATTGCACGGTAATAGCATGGTACTTTGAGTATGTTTTAGTGAGTGTTACGTTCTGTGTGTCTCTCAGGTTGTGCAGAGGATCCTGGAGGTGGAGTACCGCACCAGGCTGCTGGTGGTGGACCGGGTCACAGATGAGTTCCTGAAGTTTCACGGTCTGCCGTGTACGGAGGATAGGGCGATTGAGATGGGCTCTCTGTCCTCTCGCTCCTCAGCGGCGTCCTCTCCCCGCGCCTCCCCGCGAGACTCCGCCACTCCTCCCTACAGCAGACAGAGCTCTGAGGGCATTTTCATTAATAAGGTGAGAAGACCTCTCATGTGACTGCTTGCACCTTTGTAAGTGAAACGAAAAGTAAGTGGTTTCTGGATAGGTGGAAACATGACACAACATGGCATATAGTGGCCATACTGTCTCTTTCTCTGTATAAGAACTTCCCTCATATTGGAGACTCCATGAGAGGAAGTCTAGGAGGAAATGCAGTCCAGACTCAGAGAGGAGCAGTGTGCTATATTTAGATCATACTGTATGAAGAACAAGGTTGGGAATCAAGAATTCTAAACAGTTACATTTAAAAGAAAAAAATACCAGATCCAAGTGGTTCAATGGTTGTTAAATGACTGCATTCTTCTGCTACAATGATATGATGCAAAATAATACAAAGGTAATAAATAAACGACACCTCTTTTTAGCCTATTTTCATCTCTGACTGCATGTGACACCAAACATACAGTGCATTATAAGAAATAGCAATTTACGATTTTCTAAAAGTTACCTTTAGAAAAGGTAAATACCTAAGTTGTATTTTGAAAAGTTTATAAATCAAATTGTGGTCAATTATTTAATGCTTTTTCACAAGTACTAAGAATCATTAATGGATGACAGTGACAGTTCACCCAAAAATTCTCACAATGTTGTTCCAAACCTATGTGTTTTTTTCTTCTTCTGTTGAACACAAAAGAAGATATTTTAAGGAATGTTGCAGTTTCAAGTTTCCAAGTTCAGTTTCCAAGTTTCAGTTTCCAAGACTTGCAGTTTCCAAGTCAGGTCTGCTTTATTGTCAATTCTTCCACATGTACAGCACATCTGGTAGCCATTGACTTCCTTAGTATTTTTATACCATATTATGGAAGTCGATGGCTACCAGCAACTGTTTTGTTACCAACATTCTTCAAAATATCTTTGTGTTCAACAGAAAAAAGAAACTCATACAGGTTTTGAACAACAGAGAATTTTCATTTTTAGGTAACTCTCCCTTTAAGACCGCTTATTAAAGTTAAGTATTAAGACTGGTGAATGGTATTAATTTAATAACTAAATTAATTAAATTCAGTGTGCTCTGTTTTGTTAAAGTTAGGTTTATTCTTGATAAAAAAAAATGTAAAAAAGTATTCTGGATCTGCTTAATAAGCTCTAGAAGAGCTTGTATTGGGCATGTGCTTTTCACGGAAACACCAGGGTTTAGCAAATAAAATGAAGTCTGCATAAGGTCCAATCAATGGAAATGTGTCACTTGATAGAAGCTAGTCAAATTAGGCGTGTGAACATGGACAGGTTATGTGACTTTTTTGAAAACCAAAATCATGCAAAGCAGGGTTATTAAAATAAACATTAACAAAATATTTACAAAAAAATATTTAGTATGTCAATGATACTAAAATGACATCAATGCAAAGAACATCATATGAATAGGGTTAAATGTGGCTTCACATGCAGCAAGAATAACCTGACCACAGTGTGTTTCATGCAGTAAATTGTTAGCATGTAAGACAAACACTCAAACTATAAAACTGATCACTAATAATTGTGTGGACGTTTGAGTTTATGCAAGTGATTGGATACATCTCAAAATATCAGATTTTTGATTTACACTGCTGTGAAGTCAACCATGGCCAAGATTACAGTGTGTGTGTGTGGTAAAACATGAGGGATACATTTAGTCCACACACACACCTGCCCTCCATCAGGAGCTTCAGTCTGGCTTCATCTAGAGGTGCTTGCCTGGAGCTGCCTAAGCTCTTTACAGACCTGGATGTGTCCAGTTCAGGTGAGGTGTGTTGACACCTGCCCAGGTAGCAGACGGCTGCCGGATCAGCACACAGCAAGAGTCCTGTAAACAACATAATCCAGAGATGGTCAACTTGCAGTCATGTTATTGTTTGTTTTATTATTAGCTGCAGTGGGATTCAAACCAACAACCATCTAACAGTATTGGAGAGCAACGAAAAGTAACTAAAAGTGTTTGAATTCCAGGTTTCTCATTTCTTTTATAAAAATTGAAGTGGAAGGCTGGAAAACACTACATGACTTTCACCCTGGATGAGTCAACGCATAGTTGCTTAAAGTCAGAGTCGACAGAATTCACTTTGATTCTATTCAGTCAAAGGATATTTTGAGCCGATTTGAAAACATTTTGTTTTTATTTTGTCATGTGTCATCTAGCAACGAGGCGCTTGTTTCTGTGCAAATCAACTTAAAACTTGATAGCTCCGCCCCCTAATTCACAAACATGTTATGCAACAGGCACCTCCCCCGGCATGATTTGACACGCCCCCTTACTGGTGATTGGCTGCAAGTGTGTTTCAGTGTTCGGTCCGATTAACTTTCAACAGTGTTTCTCAGAAATCACTCACAGCACTTTTAAGCCTTTTTCTGTTTTAATAAATCTGACATTAGCAGCCATGAACAACCTGTAGTTTTGCTAATGAACTAAACTACTTGGTGGAAGAATTGTTGATTATTATTAGTATTACTGTATGAATGTATCTATTTTCATCATAATGCTGCTGTCTTCATTATATAAAAGCAAGAAGCCACTTGAGGTCTCATAATACAGTGATTTTACCACAGTTAAGGGAGTTTCAAAAACACCCATTGCTTGTAGTAAAATCACTGTAACAGACAACCTCTTGTGGTTTGTTGCTTTAATTTGATTTTATAGCTTTATTTAGATCTTTTTGCACCAGTGTGGAGAGTGATAACGTCTACAGAAGCCGAACAGAAGGCTAGTTTGACTGTGGTTTTGCTCATTTAAATTATGAGTAGGTTGTTTCTTGGCAAACAACAGTTTCAAAGCAGCTTCCCCAAACGCAACACAAACAATGCTGCCACTGAAAGAACAGAAACACCGACCACAGCCGTTCAGGTTCAGCTGAATGTCTACTTCACTGTCTTCTGGTAGAGTCCCAGCAGCGCTGGAGGAGTGATGAACGGCTCTCCGCTCTACAGAGCTCATGCCCGTCTGGCGTCACCCTGCGAACGCAAGACTGAACCGGAGGCCGAACCCTTCACCAAAGTCACAGCCAAGCCTGAACCTGAGTGTGAGCTCAGCACTGACCTCAGCGGATCTCAGACCAGCACACAGGTGAGGTTAGGCAGCAGGGGCTTCATGATGAGATTATTATGTGGTGCGGATCTGCAAAGTCTCTCATTTCCAACCCAATTACACTCTTAAAAATAAAGGTTCCAATCGGGCGTTTTTGCAGTGATGCTATAGAAGAAGCATTTTTGGTTCCCCAGAGAACCTTTCAGTGAACAGTTCCTAAAAGAACCATTTTGAAGAACATTTAAAAAATCTAAGGAACCTTTTTTTGACTATAAAGAACCTTTATTTTTAATAGTGTAGGACTAGTATTGGTAGGTATTTGTATTTGAAAGTGCAGTTAGTTTGAATAGACACTGATACGTACAGTACAGTATAAATGTATAGACATTTAAAAAAATGCTTTCACATATCTATGAGTTTAGAGATAAGTATAAGTATGTTTTTATTTCCCATGCAAAGAGAACAGCCAATCATAACAGAGGTCTGTCTTAAAGGTACTGTACTACAGTATACTCTACCGTTCAAAAATCAGTAAGATTTTATGTTTTCGAAACACCAAGGCTGCATTTATTTAATCAAAATTACAGTAATACTGTGAAATATTATTACAATTTAAAATAACTGTTTTCTGTTTGAATGTATTTTAAAATGTAGTTTATTCCTGCGACGCAAAGCTGAATTTTCAGCATCATTACTCCAGTGTTCAGTGTCACATGATCCTTCAGAAATCACTCTAATATGCTGATTTGATGTTCAAGAAACATTGCATATTATTATCAATGTTGAAAACAGCTGTGCTGCTTTATATTTTTGTGGAAACCATGTTTTTTTTCTTTGATGACTTGAAAGTTCAAAAGAACAGCATTTATTAGAAAATAGCGTTCTATATAAATGTCTTTACTGTCAATTTAATGCATCCTTTCTGAATAAAAGTATACATTTCTAATGTTATTATTATTATTATTCATTTTTAAAAAAAAAGAAAGAAAATCTTACTGACCCCAAACTTTTGAGGGGTAGTGTATGTAGTAGGTTAAGTATATATGGAAGCCTTAAAGGTACAGTAGCAAAATCAGCTTGTTTATTAGAATTAATTATGAGTGTTTTTTGTGCAAGAAACCTTAACTTAAATTATATACAGTAAAATATGTGCTTCGTTGACATGTAAAGGAGGTAAAAATGTCTCTTAAAGGGGTCATAGGATGCTACATGCACTTTTACAAGTAGTTTGAACTGAAATGTGTGTTGGCAGTGTGTGTACACAACCACCCTATAATGATAAAAATCCACCCGGTGTT